CTCCGGGATTGGGCCTTTGTAATCTGAATTGGGCTTCTAAGCCTGCAAAAGTGTAATATTTGATATTAATAATATAATAATAATAATAAATAATAATAATAATAATAAAATAACGATAAAAAACCCGGACAAAAACGGGTGTCTACAGTTAGATATACTTAACCTATTAATCTCCAAATAATCAGCATCATATTAGGTCTGACACCAATACTAATAATTATTAATATATAAATAACCATGCATAGTTTCTCTGGAAATGACTCACTATTCCTCGTTCATTACTAAATTGTCTTTTGTGATAATAAAAAACAAAACACTTTTCACTCGTGTAATATGTGCTTATGTAGGCTGAATTGCATTAGAAAACACTAATGTGTAATTAAAGGGTGCTTTGACAACACTCAATGGGAGATCAAAGGAAATTTTTTAGATGAACCACTTAACAAAAATTAAAAAAGCAAAAGCATCCAAGAACTTCCTACTACCTTCCTGAGTGCAACTTAAGTACCGATCATTCTGAAAAGCACTGCAAAAGCTAAAGTCCCACTCCCTTAATGCCTTACTTATCTTTAGTTTTGTGAATATGCTCACCCGTGTTTTGATAAGTTTTAAAAGCTCACTACCCATATTTGATATCTCAACCGTCTACTTAGTTGAAGTGCTTTAGTTTAAAGATAAATTTGAACTCTGAATTAAACTTGGTAAGTTCATTTAGCCTTTTTATGTAGTGTCAGTCATGCTCTAAATTGATCATCAAATCATCAAGGAACTATATTGTTGTACCTCCAGAAAAATTTGTGTCTCTCTAGAGTCAAATGTTGTATCTTCGAAGTTATTTTTATCAATCAAATAGTTATTGTTTCTTGACAAGACTATTGACAAAATCAATAGATATGACAAGATATAACTCTATTGATTGGTAGTTGCATTATTCACTCTGTCAGTCTAGAATAATAATCATGATCTTAGGTTTGATACCAACACACTTAAAAGATCAATATATAAACCCTTGTGCACTGCAAGGAGGGGATCTTCCTCTCCTTCCTCATTTTTCTACTCTCTCGATGATCATCCTTCTTAAAAATCTTCATCATTGATATTATCGGTTGACTGTCGTTTAATTACCGATTATAATTTTCTGTTCAAATTAGAAGAGATAAATCACCTACGACTGTAAACACTTTATTCCCATTAACATACATGATTAAATGACAGTGTTTGTTGTAAATTTAACCATATGATCTCTCCCTTTACATATAGCAGTCCTTGTTGACAATGAATTTTCATCATGTTAATTTATACTAGACAATGACCCAGTCCATAACTCAAGATTTCACTTTTAATCGTAATTAGTATTTGGATAAACCTCTTGAATCTTGGAGTAATCTGATAGCTCAATTCGCCTCCACAATTATAGAAGAAAATATTCCTTGAAGAATGACATGTATATTCATGCATGAATCTTAACATGGATTTTTGTTTAATTAGCTGTGGATGCTTTAAGAATCACTATCAAGAAAATAAAGATTCATAGGTTCTGTTGTCACTGTAGATAAGTTTGTTCTGTATACTCTCATAGGTGACCTTTAACTTGACAATGATTTTAGAGGAGTAGGGATGGAGTATGGACCGAGGGGGCTGATGGGGACAACCGTCCCCTGAAAATTTCAAATTCTATATTTTTTTATAATTTTTATTGATAATTTGTTTATCGCCCACTGAAATTTTATAAATTTATCTCTCTAACATAAAATCTTAGGTTATTCCACAGAGATGATAAAAAAAAAGGCACGATGGTCTTGGGTAAGTGTCTAAGTGTCATAATCTATTTCCATAATTATGCAGCCTTTATTAAATAAAGTTTTTTCCCCATTGAGTTTAGGGTTGTGATCCAGGCTTAATTTGGAGATGGAGATGGGGGGTAAAGAAGAAGGGTATATCCTCTATAGAGCTATGAGCTATACATGAAATTCATGGGTAGAGGAAGGATAGCCACAGAATCATTAAAAGAAAACCCTGCAATTTCTCTGTCAAAACAATGTATTATGTGCCATAATTTTATCTTTTTTTATGTTTGAACATTATCAAAACAATCATAATATTTTTTTATAATTTTTCACAATAATCAATACATCGACATGGGAACAGAGTACAAACGACGAGAACAAACTGCAAATCACTGCACAAGAAAAGTACAACAAGAGAGAGCGACGAACTAACAAGAACCGCAGCACTAAAAATGAACTAGAGATGCATCACGCGAATCAATTGTAAAAATTAGCGTCCTAAATTCCACTATCATCTAATTGTTCTTTCCATGAATTCTGATCGATCAATAAATCAATCATTACTTAAATAACTTCAAGAGATATCATAGTGTTCAAGAGATATCAATAATACTAAGGGTCACCAGTTTTGTTCTCCATATCAAACTTTAGATAAAAAAATCTATCAGATATCAAATATTATAATCACCTTTCTCTCTCTTCTATTTGCATATTTAAACCCTGACCTTATGGCTCAAGCTTCTCATGGAAAGCCACAAAAGAACGAGTTATTTCACAAACATGGCCACCATTCAATCCAACAACAAAGCTTTCTTCTTCAACTATCTCCAATCTCTTTCCCAAACAGTACCTCATAGGCTTAGAAAGAGAATGTTAGCAACATGGACCCCAGATAAAGAGCTTAATCGAATAAGGCTAAGGTGTGGTGCTGATATGAAGAGGAAACTCAGATGGTATGACTTGGTAGCTCTTGGTGTAGGTGGAATGCTTGACGTTGGTGTTTTCGTCACCACCAATCCTATAGCCCGCAATAACTCCGGTCCATCTGTCTTCATATCCTATATCATTGCTGTAATATCAGCACTTCTTTCTGCTTTGTGTTACACTAAATTTTCTGTCAGGATTCCTGTTGCTGGTGGCGCCTTTAGTTATCTGAGAGTGACTTTTGGTATGCATCACCACATTTATAACCATTCTTTTCTCCATTGCATGACTGAAATGATAATAATACAGAAGTATATATGCATATCACCACTTTCTGCAATTCCTTTTTCATAGGAGAATTTGTGGGGTATTTTGCTGGAGCAAACATACTAATAGAGTATGTATTATCAAACGTCGTCGTGGCAAGAAGCTTTACTGAGCATTTATGCTCAGCCTTTGGCGTAAGTGATCCCAATTCCTGGAGAGTTGAAGTTCATGGATTGCTACAAGGCTATAACAAGTTGGATTTTTTAGTTGTTGCTATTGTTCTTATTCTCACTCTTTGCCTATGCCATAGGTTTGATTTCTCACTAGCTACCCTATTATGTCAAGATAACATTTACTATACCCTTATTATTACAATTATTATTTTATTCATTGTTGTTGCAGACAAAGAAAAAGAAATTGCCACAGTTGTTTTTAGTGGGTTTTGAAAGTGATGGATGTTTCCTTTTGTTTTTGGTTTGCAGTACAAAGGAAAGCTCAATCTTGAACCTTATTATGACAATCTTCCATGTTGTTTTCTTCGGGTTCATCATAATAATGAGTTTCTGCAATGGAAGTGTCAATAACTTGGTGAAGCCAAAAGGGCTAACTCCTAATGGTATTAGAGGCGTTCTTGATGGAGCAGCTATAGTTGACTTCAGCTATATAGGCTATGATTCAGTCTCAACCTTGGCCGAAGAGATTCATAACCCTCCAGTAACTCTTCCGGTTGGGATCATTGGTTCGGTTTTATCGTCTCCGGACTTTACTGCCTCATGCCTTGGCTTTGTGTATGATGGTACCTTACAATCAGGTCAGTCATCTGCAACTTGATATTGAAGTATAGGTGTGACTAATTTTTTTTTCTTAGAGGAACAATCTTCATGGTATAGATTGCTGAAACGGCATCATACTCGATGGCTTTCAAAAGTATTGGTTGGAAGTGGACGGGGAATGTTGTAGGGGCAGGAGCAAGCTTGGGGATAGTGACTTCTCTCTTGGTCGCCATGTTAGGCCAAGCCAGGTACCTGTGTGTTATTGGAAGAGCCAGGCTAGTCCCATCCTGGTTGTCTAAGGTTCATCCTTCAACAGGCACCCCATTGAATGCACTCTCTTTCTAGGTACGTGAATTTCTTTTTTAACTATTTCTTAATTGTGAAGTGCTTGACAGTTGTCTAAGGGTCACTTTCAATCACCATTAGAAGGTTAACAATGGCAGACATCCCTGAGTGCATAGCAAAAGCATGTTCTTCAGTGCAATTCTTTTTGTACATCAAATACCATTGTGATTGTATGAAGTAATAAAGATAATTTGATGTGTGTGTGTCCATGGTATAGGGATTTGCACAGCGTTCATTGTACTCTTCACTGACTTGGACATTGTGATTGAAATGATATCCATCGGCACACTGTTGGTGTTCTACCTGGTTGCCAATGCTCTTATCTACAGAAATATGTGATAACAGGTAAAAATCCGCCTTTCTTCACACTTTCCTTCCTCATCCTCATTACATCATGCGCGATAGGCTTCTCGATATCATGGAAACTCGAGCAGCAATGATGGGTTTGCCTCTTTTTGGTGGGATCACGATTGCCGTCATCGCCTTCTTCCAATACATGATGCCTTGCCTAGGGCAGCCAAGTGAGTAGTCAGTGCCACTCATGCCTTGGCCGGCTGCCATATCCATTTTCTTTAATGTCTTCCTTATGACCACATTAAAGATGCTCTCATTCCAAAGGCTTGCTATATGGGCATGTTTGATAACTTTGTTCTATGTATTATATGGAGTTCACTCAACGTTTCAAGCAGAAGAGATGGAGATGGAAGTGGCTGTTAATGAAGTGTCAAACCCATATATCCAATTAACTAAGCTAGATGTTAAACCATTTAAACTCAATTGAAATTAGAAAAATCAAGCTTTTCCTTCCCACTTTTCTATTATTTAAGCTTTATTATTATTATTATTTTTATTGTTCCAAATTCAGTTAACTTGATCGACTCTTTTAAGCTACTGCAAATGTAACTATGCAAGTAATGAGAGACAATCAATCTAAGTTCCTCTTAATTTCGAATTAGAAAAACGAGAATCGACCTAAGTTGCATTGTTTTTAAGAACATTTGGCAAGCTTAAAAAGATAATGCAAATGTAATTATGAAAGTAAACTAAATTATCCCAACACTAGGTGACACAATATCTACTTTTCTTTCTTAATCAAAGCATCTTCTTGCCATTCTTCAACCCCATTTCCTTTCGTATTAGGGAACATAGAGGACGGTTTCCTTTTCCTCTTCTTCTTTTTCGAAGACAATGCGTTGGAAAATGCATCCATGATCTTTTGTTGGGACTCGAGTATCATCTCGTTGTGCTTCAACTCCATCTCCATTCTCGTCTTCTCAATCTCCTTCACCATCTCCATCTTCATCTTCTCCATCCTCACAAACCCTTCAGCCAACAACTTAATCGAGGAAACCATCTCATCAACCGGATCCACACCCCTCTTGACTTTGGCACTAGCATTCTTTCTCCCAAGTCCTTGCCTTGAACAAGAAGCAACTCCATTCAAACCCCCAAAGCCACCACCTGGTTCTGAGTTCCAATCAACTCTACCACATTTCTTTTGATGAAAAGTTTTAGGCACTGAATCCCAATTACTTGAATCTCTTGCTCGAAACGCCATCTCTTCATCGCTTGAGTCATTATCATAATCATAATCAAGATTAGGGCAACCATAATTCTTTGGTTTGAATCCCACGTTCAAAAAACTCCTATCACCTAAGGTCTTAAGAGGAAACTCTCCAACACTATCGACATCCTGAGCAAAACTACGATCAAAATCAACCATAGAACCATAACCATCGCCAATTCTACCGTTACTCTTAAAATTTTTAATTCCTTTCGCCACAAAATCCTCATTTTCATGCCATTTCGCCCCATACCCACTTCCCAATTTGTCATCAAAATTAAAACTTGAATCATACCCACCTCTATATTCAAGATCAAACCTAGATTAGACCCAGAATTCCCATCATATTTTCACGCTTCCTGGATTTCAAGCAAAACCCGCCAATTACAGTGGCTTTATGATCAGTAGTATGATCTTTATCATCAGATCCAGCAACTGACGTTGATGCAAAATTCATAGAATCAAGAAGAGGATACAAGTCCCAAGACGAAGAGAACTTGCCTGAATTTTTTAGGCTCCGCTGCTTCTCGGCACGGTAACGCTTCCTCAGCTTCTCGATCTTATGTCGGCACTGAACAGACGATTTCAAGGTCCCGGGATCGGAAGCGGAGGACACGACGTCCGACACGGTATCCCAATCCGACGCTTTCAGGTTCCCACGTCGAAGAGCGAACCACTTATCCTTGTAAGCCTCGATCAACGCCAGAGTTTCCTCTTTAGTCCAACACGGAGGAGGTACCCGCCGTGTGGCTGTGGCGGAGGAGGATTGAGGAAGAGGAGAAGTGGTGGTGGTTGACATAAGGATAGAGAACGCGGTGGTGGTGGTCGGCGTGGGATAAAGAAAATACAAGAGAGCATTTGTTGTTGAGTGGCTTAAAAAACAAATAAAGAAATATGAAAGCGATTAAAGAGGGAGAGAAGCGGTGGGTTGGTTGGTTAATTGAGGGGTTGCCTGACGATTGATGGGGCGGCTATCCTGCGGTGGGGTTTCGACAGCGAAACACGTAAGGGCTTTTTAGAGTTAGAGTCCGGCACTAAACACGCTAATCAAACTAGTTTATGTCAACTAAGGAAGGTGGCCATGCGGGTGAGAGACTGAGCCCAGTGGCTGATCATGGTGGTGCGGTGCTCATAATGATAACCAGAGCTGTAGGCCACTTCGTTGGTTTGGACTTTGTACTCAAAATTCATTTAAATTTGGGCTTAAAGACTCATCTTTTAGGACCCACGAAGCCATAGCCACATCAAAGAAGGTCCAGATGAGAGGATATGGCAACAAAATCGATTAGAAAATCAGCTTTTAAAGCTTCTCCCTGCACCCACACAATTGCAATGACAGTTTACAAAACCCTCAGTTTTGCCATTGGACTAGCATGGATTGGAATCTATCAAACAGTTTCGGTGGTTAAGAGTGTTATTTTTTTAAAAGTTTTGAATTAAAACAGTTTTATTTATAAGGCGGGTATATTATTAATATTTAAAAAAAAATTAAATATTATCTTATAATCACCTTGTAATATTAAAAAAAATACATGAATTCATGTTGCTTCAATGATACTAGCATTTGTGAAATGGTTTTAAAACAATTAAGATAAAATTTCTAAGAGTTTTTGTGTTAATTTTAAAAATGACATCTATTTTATTATTTTATCAATTAAAATGAGTTTACTTTTAAAATAATAATTTTTATAACTCAATAATCATTTTATCATTTTCTTTGCTTTATTTATTTAAATATTATTTTCAATTATTATTATAATAATTTTGTTTATATTGATTTTTGGATAAAATATATCTCAAATCATTTAAGAATGTATTCAGTGGTAAATAGAATAATTTTTAAAAAAAAAAAATTAATTAAAATATTATTATAAACATATTATTGGTCGTCAAATATTAAATAGAATAATAAAGTGACTCGATATAATAATAATTTTAGTCATAAAAACTTATATCGTTTATCATTTTGATAATAATTCAGAATAATTCAATAATATAATCTTTTATAACTATTACATCATTTTAATTATTTATTTTTCTCCTCAAAATATTGTATTACTTTCTTCTTATTTTTATAGTATAATAACATCTTAACAATAATGTGTTACTTCTTTATGAAAAAATATATTTATCTAATTATTGCTTTAATTTTATAGGTTTAGTTAGTTTAACAGTATCACAAAAAATATTAAATTAATAAAATTTTAAAAAATTAAGATTTAAATTTATTAAACTATTTCAAATAAGTTAGAATTGATAAAATATATACATTTTAAAATTAAAAATATTATTATATTAAATCATATTTTGAATTTTTTTATATTTAGGTTAACCTTTTAAAACTACTACGGATTAAATTTGAACTGAATGATTAGTGTGAATTACGGAGAACGAGTTTCCGATTGAGACAAAGGCAGTCGACTTCCAATTAGAGTTGCTTTATCTCCGACTAACCGGAGATAAGATTATGTTGATCATGAAAATATATATACATAAATATTAAATGTAAAAAAATGTTTTTAAAGAAATTAAATAGAGTAATTCTCTCATTAGTTGAATAGTAAGATTAATGTTTAACACATGTACATATTATCCCTTTCAATTTATGATTTAATACGTACCACACTCTTATGGGAAATTCTATAATGGACGTCGCACACTGCAACGCATCACTAAAATAATGTATCGAAACACACCACATGCAAATTAATCTTTATTATATAAATATTAAAAGTATATTAATTTATTTCAAATTAATCATTTTTTAAATTTTAATTTTAATTTTAATAGAATTTAATTAAATTATGATTTCTTTATTAAAAATAATAATTAATTTAAGTAATTTAATTTGTTTTAGAATCAAAAATTTTAAGTTATATAAGTTTAGTGATTAACCGGTCATCACCATTAGTCACCGTCGGCGATAATTTTGCTTCGCTGAAAACAAATTAAATTACTTAATTTAATTTTAAATTTTATTTAAGTACTTAATTTTTTAAATTATTAATAAAAGTGTTAATATACTTATGTTAAAATTTAAGTCTTCGACAGCGTTGGATATTGTAGCAAATCATTTTCCGGTGAAACAAAATTGTTGTCGACAGTGATTAAAGGTGATGGCCGGTTAATCACTAAACTTATATAACTTAAAAAATTTAATTCTAAAACAAATTAAATTACTTAAATTAATTATTATTTAATAAAAATATAATTATATTAAAATTTTATTAAAATTAAATTTTAGATTTAATAAATGATTAATTTAAAATAAATAAATCATTACACATTTTTAACATTTACATAACAAAGACAAATTTGCCTGAGGTGTGTTACGTGTGCGACATGTGTTGTATATTCATCCCACTTATATATAGTTTTTGAGAAAATTTATATGATTTGATTTCTTTAAAGGAGGCCTACTAAAAATATTAGAAGAAAAAGAATGAGATGTGTCGGAACCGTCTTTCGGTTGAGTCCCGGAATTGGGCTTCGACGTGAATAATTGGGTTAGGGAGTCGCCACCGACCATTTTAAACGGATTTAGGTAGGTCGGACACCATCTTACATGATCTGCGTTTTACCATAAATGTATCGGGTCCGGGAGTCGGTTACGGTCAAGGAAGGATTAGCACCCTTGAATCGCCCTTTCGATACCAATTAATTTATCGGTTGTCTTAATTACGAAAATTAAAAATTAAAAATAAAATTTAAAAAGTTCGATTCAAATTAATTACCTTTGATTGATTGAAAATATCCCTAAAAAGTTAAAAATGTTAAATAAAGAATAATAAATAAATATTAAATAAATGAAAAGAAGGAAAAGAAAAAAATAATACTAAAATAAGGAAATAAAAACATTAAATAAATCAAAAGAAAAAAATGAAATAAAAAGTAATAAACTAAATGAAATAAATATAAAAAAGGAACCCATAGATGAAGGACCATATGTTTGAATTTACCAAAAGTTCAAAAGCATTGTATTTTTTTGTTTGATCTCACGCATGCAGGAGCCTTTTCTAAGGCATTTGCAATTTAATTTAAAACAAACTTTCCCTGTTAGTGCTAGCAACCAAGCAACCTTCAGTGGTAGCCATGGGAACCGAGAACTCTCCTCCATTAAGCAACAACAGCCCAACAATTCCCTCGGAAATCTGCAAGTACTCGATCGGCATCTCACAATGGAAACCCAAAATCGACTTGTAATCGAACCCCTCCAAGGGCAATCCAGACAATGACTTGCCCATTAATCTCTGTAACGACTCACGCCTAATTTCAACCGCTCTCTTGCAATCACTTAATTCCGATTCCAACGAATACGAAGGAATTGTTCCCGCCACAACAGATTTAATTATCTCCTCGTCTTCCTCCGTTAAATCTGTCAAAGGCTTTTCATCGAACAATTTCTGGACAGCTAATGTAGAGAGCTATAGATGAGTATTCGATTATGTCGATTCGATCATCATCAAGCCTTGCATAGTTAAATCCTAGAAGATAATCAACTTGTTCTAATTGATATTGCAGGGCCATGGAGAAGGAAATTAGTAAAGCCTAAATCTCAACTCCATAAGTGGTTCTCAGTATTGGAGAAATAGCAGTAATTTGAAGTGAACATTACCTTTCTTTTTTAATCAAATCAGAAATTGATAAACATAGATGCAATGATAACATCATATAATTATTGTAAGATAAGCACTCCAAATCATCCAAACAAACCCGTGAAGAAATTCAAACAAAAGATTATTGAAAAATAAAATAAGAAGTAGGCCAAATACAACAGATCTAAAGTTCACATCACTTATCTCAATAGCGATTCTTAAGCTCCTCGAGTTGCTGGTTTAACTGCACGATTTTAACAAGAAAGCTAGTAACAGAGAAAAGGATCCAGTACATAATAAGGGCAGCGACGATGAGGAATGCGTGGCGTTGGCTTAGATAACGTCTTTGGTCAGTCCGCTAATTCGATTGCTGGTTCAAACCGGTGGCTCCTTGGTTTTCAGCAAGCAGTGATGGACATAATCCAGGTTCCAAGGATCCCAAAGTCGAGCCATCTATCAATCTTCTCTCCGTTGATATTTTTGTTGTTGAAACTGGTGACGTTGAGACTCTAAAAAGCGCTGATTGGAAGTGGAAAATGTGTAGCATTGGTGGTGGAATCGGGTTGAAGAAAAATGTTGTTTAGTTCAACGTAAGATCAATGAAACCAAAATGCAGCTCGAATGGATCCCAGTATTATTGTTGATGATTAGTTTGAACCCCCTTCTTTCATGTACATATCACCTTATAAGCACATCCTTTGCTTTGGCTTCCCCCCTTCTCAGATGTGAGTTGAGGAGATAATGGGTGGTTATGAATGTTGTAGGAGTAGTTGAGGTTGTTGAGTAGTTGGAAATGGGCCCTGCAAAAAAATAAAAGAAATAATAATAATAATAATTAAATAAATAAATAATACAATAAAAATAAAAATATAAAACCCGGTCAAAAATGGGTGTCTACAGTTGCCCCTCTTTGCATATTCTTGTGTTAACAAGAATAGGGCAAAGACGAAAAAGACAACCAGTTTTTGGCTGGTATTCTCAAATGTGATTGGTCTTCCTGGAATTGGATCGTTGTCTTCTTCTTGGTTTAAAGATTTTGGGTTGAAAATTTTTCCAGAAAGTAGTTCATCGCTGTCATCGAGCTAAATGAAATCGAACTCATCATGTCTTTGGTTGGCAGATAGCTCTTCTCGACTTAAGCTATGCTGCAAATGGTTGCTTGTCACTAAGGTACGGCTAACCCAGGTCCTCTTCTCGACTTGAAAACCTCGACTGCAATCGGAAAGTAGTGCGATTGATGTGTCATCGAGCTGAATGGAATCGAACTCGACAATTTTGATGGCAGATAACCCTTCTAGCCTTGAGTTATGCTGTAAATGATGTGCCTTGGAGCTGTGCGTAGTCGAACTCGAAAGTCTTTGTTGACAGATAATCCTTCTTTGAGTCGGATATCCTTCGTCGCGAGGTTGAAATCCAATCTAAAGATGGATGATGCTTGTGTGCACGATTCCCTTCGTCGTGAGATTGAA